CATAGAAGAATACTATGCAAGGATGAGAAACCTCCGTAATGAGCTTAATGTGTATCACCCTTTGACTTTAGATGTTCAAATTCAGCAGCAATAGCAAGAGCAACTTGGTGTGACAAGGTTTTTAGTGGGTTTAAATTTTGAATATTGGGTGGGTCTGTTCTCCCCTCTCATGAGGAAGTGTTTGCCCGACTTCGGAGGATTTCTATTGACCCTACGGAGTCTTCCTTTCTCTTGGACAGCTTTGGTTTTGTGGTGACAAGAGGGGGAGGTCGTGGAAATAGAGGTGGTGGATGTGGTCGTGGATTTCCATGGACCCGAGGTGGTCCTATGTTTAATCATATTGGTGGTCACAATGAAGGTCGAGAGTCAAGGGGAGGTCGTGGTAAAGGAAGAAGTACTGGTCCTAGGAAATGCACATACTATGGATTAGAAGGACATATTGTTAACTTTTGTTATGATTTACATGGTCCACCCAACACTTGGGCTAATCATGCTGTGAGTGTGACTAGTAGTGGTGGTACAGTTAGTGAGAACCAACAGATTGATCAGACCCCCTCCACATCAACTAGTGCTTTTGGGAAGGAAATGGTGAGCGTCCCACATGAGCTATATGAGAAGTTTCTTTAGACATCCTCTCAATAGAACACAACTACTATTGCACATTCAGGTATGGCTTGCTTGGCTTCCAAACCCTTACACTGGATCATCGACTCTGGAGCCTCTGATCATATGTCTGGAATTTTGGATGTGTTTTCTTCACTTTCTCAGTCTTCTACGTCCCAAACAGTTACCCTTGCTAATGGTTCTACCTCTCCCATTTGCGGTGTTGATGATGTTGATTTTACCTCCTTATCTTTATCCTCTGTCTTATATGTACCCAAGTTTCTTTTTAATCTTATGTTTGTTAGTAGATTAACCAAGTCAATTGTTCTATAACCTTTTATCCCTCTTCTTGTGTGTTTTAGGATTTCAAGAYGGGGATGAAGATTGGTGGAGGGCATGAGGCAGGTGGATTGTATTATCTTGATGGTGGTGGTCCGGAAGTATCTCTTTAATCCTCTCTTACTCCTCTCAAGTCTCCAGTGGCACTGTAGACTTGGTCATCTGTTGCTCAAGGCTCTGAAGTTATTGATCCTGTCTTTAAGTTGTCTTCCATCGTTAGATTGTGAGTTGTGTCAGCTTGGGAAACACCATAGAGTTTCTTTTAGCCCTAGAGTTGATAGTCGTATTTTGAGTCCTTTCTCTTTAGTTCATTTAGATGTTTGGGGTCCAAACAAAGTAGTGTCTTACAATGGTTATAAGTATTTTGTAATTTTTGTTGATGATTTTTCAAGGATGACATGGCTCTATCTTATGAAAGACCGAAGTAATTTGTTCTTTATTTTTCAAAAATTTTATGCTGAAATGCGTACCCAACTTGGAGTTCATATTAAAATTCTTCACTCAGATAATGCAAAAGAGTACACCTCAACACCATTTCAGAAATACTTAGAGCACCATGGGGTAATTCATCAAACTTCTTGTTCTTATACCCCACAACAGAATGGCGTGGCTGAACGGAAAAACCGAAACTTACTTGAAACTGCTCGGTCAATTATGTTTGATATGAATGTCCCAAAGCGTTTTTGGAGTGATCCTTACATCATGTTTTATCATCAATTGGATGCCCATGTCCATCCTTGGAAGTCAATCTCCTTTCTCAGTCTTGTTCCCTACTCTTTTTCCATTCCCTTTTACTCTTAGAGTCTTTGGTTGTGTTTGTTTTGTTCAGAATATAGGGCTTGGACTGGACAAGTTAGATGCGCATGCTACAAAATGCATCTTCCTTGGATACTCTAGAACCCAGAAAGGGTACAAGTGTTATAACCCTAGCTCTCATTGGTCCTTTGTGTGTTTTGATGTCACTTTGTTTGAGTCGGTTCTATTCTTCTTGAATACTGATGCCCCTTCTCTTGCTCCTATGGTTCCACTTTCAGTCCCAATTGAGGACCCCCTTTGGTTTCTGTTCTACCTTAGTTGCCGTCTCCCCTAGCGCAGGTTAATACTAAGAGGCCACCAATCACACAAGTGTATACTCACAGAAGAGCACCGGCCCCTCCTCTAGTTCAGCCCTCGTTGGCGGATCCTGTAGTTGTATCTCCTCCTTCTGACCTTAATTTTCCTATTGCATTGCGGAAAGGTAAATATAGTTGTACATCTCATCCTATTTCTCATTATGTTTATATTGCTCACCTTTCCGCTTCCCATCAACATTTTATATCCTTGTTATCATCTGTTTCCACTCCTAAGACTGTCCAAGAAGCCCTTACTTCTCCAGGGTGGTGGCAAGCAATGGAAGAGGAATTGTATGCTCTGGCACACAATCACACATGGGAACTTACCACTCTCCCTCTTGGTAAGCATGTTGTTGGATGTAAGTGGGTCTACACAGTGAAGTATCTTCCAGATGGTAGTGTGGAACGATTGAAAGCCAGGTTAGTGGTCAAAGGCTATTCTCAGTTATACGGTGTTGACTATACGGAGACATTCTCTCTTGTGGATAAGATTGGTTCAGTTCGGGTGTTGATGTCTTTAGCAACAATGTATAATTGGCCTCTCTTTCAGCTTGACATAAAAAATGCCTTTTTACATGGTGATCTAGTTGAGGAAGTATGTATGGAGCAACCACCAGGGTTTGTTGCTCAGGGGGAGGATGGTAAAGTTGGCAGACTTATGAAGGCGATTTATGGACTGAAATAATCTCCACATGCGTGGTTTGGCAGATTCAGTGAAGTAGTGAAGAACTTTGGCATGAAACAGTGTCAAGTAGACTATTTTGTGTTCAACTGTGAATCAGAAGATGGGAAAATCTTGTTAGTGGTGTATGTGGATGATATTGTCATAACTGGTAGTGACAACAATGGGATTGACAGGTTGAAAAACTTTCTACAGGATCACTTCCACACAAAAGATCTGGGTAAGCTAAAATACTTCTTGGGAATAGAAGTTGCAAGGTCAAGGGATCGAATTAACTTGTGCCAAAGGAAGTTTGTCCTTGATTTACTTGAAGAAATAGGGTTGTTGGGTGCCAAACCAGCTGAAACACCCACGGAATCGAATGTTATGTTGAGTATTGATGCAGGTGATGGGAAAATTGAACTACCCAACTATTACTCAGCCAAATATATCATTTACTGTAAGCATGTTGAGTTAGTTTATGCAACATCCTCGGGTCCCACATTGGAAAGCAGTTCTAAGAATAGTTAGGTACCTGAAGGGAGCTCTAGGTCGTGGGCTGTTATATAAAAGTGGAGGAACTCTTGAGATAGAGGGGTATACAGATGTTGACTAGGCCAGATCTGTGTTTGGTTGGAGATCCACTACTGGGTATTGTACCTTTCTTGGTGGCAATCTAGTAACTTGGAAGAGCAAGAAACAAACAATGGTGGCAAGAAGCAGTGCGGAAGCTAAGTAAAGGGCTATGGCTCATAGTACATGTGAACTAGTGTGGCTGAAAAATCTTTTGCAAGAAATGGGGTTCTCAATTGACAAGCCAGGAGGGTGTACTATGATAATCAAGCTGCTGTCCACATTTCTTCCAATCCAGTCTTTCATGAGAGAACAAAGCATATCGAAGTTGATTGCCACTTTGTAAGAGAAAAGGTGATCAATGGAGTGATAAATACAGCTCATGTGAGTTCAGAAAACCAATGGGCAGATCTGTTTACAAAGGGGCTGAGTCGGGGAAGAGTGGATTACATATGTGACAAGCTGGGATTTATGATATATATTCTCCAGCTTGAGGGGGAGTGTTAGAATCGACAGTACAAGGGTAGTTAAGTCTTTTGTATATCTAATTAAGGTTAAATGGTCTATTATGTCTAGGTTTAAGTTGTGTGTCCCATACTTAATGAGGGACAACATTGTTTTTTGTAAAATAATACATAGAGAGTATAAATACAAAGTGGGTCGGATGAGAAAGGTGACTTTTCTTCTTCTCAGACCGAACCCTTTCTCCTTTTCTCTCTCTCTCTCTCACACACACACTCTTCTTCTTCTTTTCTTACTTCAGACCTAGAACTGAACTTGGGTTAATCGAACTATTCACACCTAGTAAGTTTGATCCTAGAGGTAGTTTTCATTTTATCATATAATAGCAAGTAGTTCATGTATCATTTGGAGTGGCAACAACGGGCATGCACTCATTGGGTGATTTGGTATTCATTTGATTGATAGAATGCTTGTGTTTTATTGGAAGGTCATAAGAAAGTGTTGTGACCATATGAACTAATCGAAACCAAATTACCAAGCCATGCACTCACAAGGTGATTTTGTTTAAATTTGATTATTAGGATTCCGCGACTAATTGGAGGGTTACAAGAAAGTGTTGTAACCATGTGAGCCGTTGAAATAAAATCACCTAGGCATGCACTCACTAGGTGATTTGGTTTTTCTTTTGCTTGATAACATGTTAATGTTTTATTGGAAGGTCACAAGAATGTATTGTCACCATCGGAACACAGCACACACTACTTTGGCATTTCTTGATTGTCATAGTAAGGTAGTAGGCCTTAGAGGTAGTCTCTATTTTTTCATATGTTAATGGGTTATTTTTGTATCATTTGGGGTAGGAGAGAGGCATGCACTCATCGGGTGAGTACATTTATCATTTGATTGTTAGCATGTTTCTGTTTTATTATAGGGTTGCAAGAAAATATTGTGACCATGTGCACTTATTGGAATCACATCACCCATGCATGCACTCGTTCAGTGATTTGGTCTTTCATTTGATTGATAGCATGCTTGTGTTTCATTGGAGGGTTGCATGAAAGTGTTGTGGTTGTGTGAACTCATTATTCAACATTAATTTTTTGCCTAGCACCCTTAAGAGAAGCATTTAGGCCAGCCCTACCTACTACTATGATACATATTATGCCAATATGAACTTGTTTCCAGGTAATATTAGTAACAATGTTTCCTGATGTACTTTTGTGTATTTGTTAATTTTCAATATGCTACAGATCTCGAAACAATTTCTGTGCAGACTCATTATTTACATCTTAATGAGTTAACTTTGGAAGATGTTATATGGGTTGATGAAATTGATGGTTTGCTTAATGCCACATCCCATATTGAAGAATGTAAAGTTGTTGGCATTGATTGTGAGTGGAAGCCTAATTATGAAAAGGGCAGCAAACCAAATAAGGTAATTGTAGGTTAAAATTTGCCATATTCCTTAGAGTTCTCATTTTCCAGTTCTCTATTCAAGTCACTCATTTACATATTGAGAATTTGGTATTCCTCTTCTTTATGTTCTTTCATTTCATTCTAAATTTGAGAATGGACAAGATATTGACATGTTTCATAAGCAAACAAGGAAGAATATTTTAAAGCACTCCAATAACATACATTTTTATGTTGGGTACTCTCATGTGGGTTAGAGGGTTACATCTTATTTTGGTTAAACTTTAGTTTACTTGATTTTATATCTGGTATTGTAGCTCCTACCATTTAATCATCCATTTGAAACCATTGTTCAATATACTGCACGTTCTTTGATGGTTTGACTTTTAAACTTGTTCTAAATCCATTGTTAAAATGTTTAATGTCTATAAGGTTTCAAACAAGATTGAAAGACTGCATAGTGAAAATGGGATTACAATTTAAATAGAGAAAGAGAGATAAGGTTTAAAATATCGTAACGTATCGGCCCGTATCGGCCGATACGTACCGTTTCCATAAGATTCTGATACACGGGACATGTAAATTTCATGTGTTCCGTATCTTTTCATATGTATCAGCCGATACAGGCTCGTATTGAGCCGTTTCGGATCTATATCGGCCTGTTTCGGGATTGTATCGGACCGTTTTGGATTTGTATCGGCCGATACAATCCCGAAACAGGCCGATACAAACCGAATCGTTTCGGTTTCCTTGTTCAATTAATCTATATTTAATACCAAATCTCTCTCATTAGTGTCTTTTATTACTTATCTATTTAAGTCTAGCTTCTTCATTAATTAGTTAATTACTCCTATATTTAAGGCAAATTTAAATTTAAATTTGAATTTTAGCGCCTAATTACATATCTCTCATTAATTCTATTAATTAATGACTCTCTCTTTCTCTCTCTCTCTCTCATTAATTTCGTTTTGTTAGTGTAAAAACTACAAATATTAACATTAGCTAGACTCGAACCTTGGTCACCAGATTTTAATGCACATAATTTTGCCACTAAACCAATCCAATTTGTTTGGTGTAATTACATGCATTTTTAGTTTTAAGTCAATTGTTTTTCTTTTCTTAGTGGTGCTTATTAATAAATGCTGAAATTAATTATTAAAATTTATATATAAATAAATATTAAGATAATTATATCGGTTATTTGAAAATCGATGTATATATACATTCACATTTTAGTTTTTTTTTTTGTTTTTTTCACATTTTAGTTATTCCATCATTTTTCAACGGCTACTAATTATGTATCGATATGTCACATTTTATATAAAAGTTAAATTATGGTTTTTTACATTTAAATGATTTATTTACAATCATATAAAACTTGTAAGCATTGTTAATGATATATTTTTTATGATTTTGAATTTGTTAACATATTTATGCGTATCTTGATTTTTCGTCTGTATCCATGCATATCCAAAACGTATCCCGATACGTCTCTTAAAATTGTCTTTCCGATACACCTTGCGTTTCCGATACTTTAAACCTAAGAGAGATAAAGATAAACTCTATCCAAAATTTATCCTAATCCAACTCAAACTTATTCTATCTTATCATAACAACTCAACTCAACACTCTATCTTTATTTTATTCCCTAATATGCCCCCTCAAATCCATGCAGATTGTTGTAAATCTGTTAATAAGTGCCAAAGGGGCACTTTAATCTTTTTATTTCTTTTAATTATGAGCTGTACTGCCGCCCTATTATAAATAAAGTTCTGGGTGCCGCCAGCCCAGATTTTTGGGTTCCTATCAAATTGTCCTTTATCCTTTTTCCTAGTTTCTTTTTGAGAAACTATTTTGCAACTGCTTTTTTTTGTCCATCTAAATTTGTAAGTCAATTTTATTCAAGACAATTAGATTTGTCAGTTAGAACCATATTGTGATGGAATAGCTATTACTGTTTTTTTTTTTTTTTGACTAATAATGATCATTTGATTTGTTATTCAGTTTCCAGCATTAATAGTGTTGACATTTCCATGACACAGGTCTCCATCATGCAAATTGCTTCTGAAAAGATGGTTTTCATCATTGATCTAATAAAGTTGTTCAAAGACGATGCCAAAATTTTAGATCACTGCCTAAAGTGCATTTTACATTCACCAAACATTTTGAAGCTTGGTACATTACTATCTGAAAGCCTTATCTCATTGGGTTCATACTTATTTAAAATTACTCTTGTGGTAGTATTGAGTAATTGAGATTTTCCCCCTAAAATACCATATTATTTGGCATCCAAAAGGTTGATTACAATTACAACCTACCTAAAAGGTAGGGGTGGCAATTTTTCACCCAACCCGCTGAACCCACCCAACCCACCCAGAA